GAGATTGCATCTCTCTTGCATCAGCGTGCATGATGTAACCATGAGTCAGCACTGGTCACTGATTGGTGCTGACACTGTATATAAGTCTATGTAGTACTTGTAGAGGTGTTCACTCTGTGAATGCCTTGCAGCGGAGCACTCTGCCGGATTGGATGGTAATATTGGAGTGGCAGAGTGCCACACAAATACCTCCCCCCCCCCACACCCCCGGTGACCACTGTTCCATGAGGGTAAGAAAAAAGCCTGATAAAGGGCCAATATTAAAAACCGAGTTGAAAGACAGTTAAAAACATGTAAGGGCCCAGTGAAAGCCTTGTTAAAAAGCAGGGGTCATTTCGTAGAAAAAGATTTGACTGGAAAGCCTGGGAATGAACTCAGGAGCTTGTGCTAGCAAAGTGTCTGTCCCACTGAGCCATTATCTCCTTAGAATCATAGAATCGTAGAGTTGGAAGGGAACTCCGGGGTCATCTAGTCCACCCCCTGCACAAGGCAGGAAAGTCACAAATCCCTCCCCCCCCCCACACCCCCGGTGACCACTGTTCCATGAGGGTAAGAAAAAAGCCTGATAAAGGGCCAATATTAAAAACCGAGTTGAAAGACAGTTAAAAACATGTAAGGGCCCAGTGAAAGCCTTGTTAAAAAGCAGGGGTCATTTCGTAGAAAAAGAGGTGCAGGAGCTCATTAGCATAACTCATTAGCACAACTCATTTGCATATGCCACACCCCCTGACATCACCGGAAGTGTGTCAGAAGGCAACACCCACCGCTCAGGCTCCACTGGACTGTTTTGGATTGCTAGCTATGGGGTGGGGGGGAACGTGCAGATCTGCCCTCGCAGAGGAGGGAGAGCTTGTACCTGAACAAAACTTGATCTTAAAGGTGCCACTGGACTGTTTTGGACCAGGGGGACCTCTGCAACTTACCTGGCTGCTTCTTGCTCTGACTGAGGGCTGCTGGGAGCAGGGGGTGGGGCTTGTTGCATGTGCCCGCCCCCTGGGCTCTTTACTGCCAGAGCTCCGCTCCTGTGCGCTCCTGCAGGAAATGACCCCTGTTAAAAAGTACAAGTGGCCTCAACACAAGGACCAATACACATGACCTGATGCGTTTCCGCCCTATTGGGGGCCTTCTTCAGAGGTCAAACAATATTGAAGTACACGTAACAATAACTCATATTACAATAAGATAACCGATAAGTGAATATTGGAACAAGAAAAGGAAGGTTGAGCAGCAAGATCTAGAGACACAAGACAAAGATATCTGTGAGGCCTCTAAAGATGAAAATCATGTATCTGGTGCCAAATGCCCAGTCTCAGAACATCTCAAAAATTAAATATATTTAAAAAGCTAATGCAGTAAATAAAAGCCAATGTAATAGCAGAAATAAAAAAATCAATAATATACAAAGTACCTTCCAATTTAGGTCCAAAAAGCAGCTGTGTGGCTATCTAAGTCAGAGCTAAAGTGCCCTCAAGCAAATCTTACTGTCTGTCAGGTAGCCCTGTCATGGATCTGGAATGTGGAGGGGTAATCTCCTCCTTCTTCTCAGCTCTTCCCTGCCCTGCTACTGTGCACTATCTCTGGCATGACCTTGTAGTCTCCAGCTGCATTACCTAGGCTGGGAAGCTAACGGCTTCTGCTTTGCTTGCCGGCTTCAGCCCGCGTGCAAGAACTATAATCATTGGCTTTAGCTTAGTGGTGGTGGTGGTGTTTGATTTCACTATAAGTCAGAGGCCCTTATACTGACGGCCATTCCTGACACAAGCTGTATACGTGAGCATTAGTACTGGATCCATCAATAAACAGTTATCTTCATATGAAGCCCTGTGTGGTGTGACCTGACTAAAGTCTATGACACTGTCATTGTTTGGGGGACAGTACTAGCGGACATGGACCACTGTTCCATGACCAGAAGATGGGGGGAAACCCTCAGGTATCCCCGGCCACAGTGGCGATCAGCTTTTCCCTGGACATGTAAGAAAGGGCCACGAGAACTAAGCACTGATCCTGCCCTCCCTCTCGAGATCTGCCTGAATTCACAGACTCAGCATGGCCCCCTTCCCCAGTGGCATCCACAGTTTTGTGGCACGGGACCTGGGTGACCTTGGCGAAGGGAGCACAAGTCTTTCACTGCCCCGTGGTCGAGGGGCATCGCTTTACCGCCACAATACCCACGCTTGGGTAGCCGGTGTTGACATTCTGCAATGGCTCTGCCTCCTTTTCCAGGACTTCATCACTTCTCAGATCCAACAAGCTTCCTGGATCGGCCTGATGGACGAAAACAGAGACGGAGCGTGGGGATGGACAGACGGGTCCGGCCTCCAGAAAGAGTGAGTTGGGACAGGCGGACGGCAAGCCACAGAGCCCCTGCACGTGCACGCCTGCAGGATTTTCTGCAACGGCATGGGCTTCTCTTATGTTCTTATGGATAAGCATATGGAGCAGAGGCCCATCAGTGACTATGAGCCACAAGGTATAGAGAGGAACTCTCGATCTGGGGCAAGGGATGCTCTGTATTCTTGGTGTTTGGGGGGGGCAACAGTGGGAGGGCTTCTGGGGTCCTGGCCCCGCTGGTGGACCTCCTGGTGGCACCTGGTATTCTTGGCCACTGTGTGACAGAGTGTTGGACTGGATGGGCCTTTGGCCTGATCCAACGTTGGCTTCTCTGATGTTCTCTTATGTACAGTCCAAGGTGGTACCCACCATCTGATCCACCTCAGGACTCCCATCTATCCTTCCCACCTTATTTACCTGTGTATATAGCATTGCCAGCCTCCAGGTGGCACCTGGAGATCTCCTGATGACCAAGATCAGTTCCCCTGGAGGAAATGACTGCTTTGAAGTGTGGACTCCCTGGCATTATTCCCCACGGGGGTCTCTCCCCTCCCTAAACCCTTCCCTTTGCAGGCTCCACCACAACATATCCAGGCATTTCCCAACCCAGAGCTGGCAACGCTAGTATATCAGTACAGCCAGGAGATCCTAAGATCGTCTGGAGGCCATAAGTTCTAGCTGTTTTAGCATTATGCACCACTAGGTGGTGAGCTAGACTTGTTTTTAGGGGCGCTCTGAGAGAGCTGTGACTGACCCAAGGCCTGCCAGGTGGCTTCCCAGTTTGGCGTAGTGGTTAAGTGCGCAGACCCTAATCTGGGAGAACCGGGTTTGATTCCCCGCTCCTCTGCTTGCACCTGGCTGGATGACCTTGGGCAAGCCGTAGTTCTGGCACAGCTTTCCTTGAAAAAGAGCAGTTTCTGTCAAGAGCTCTCTCGGCCCCACCTACCTCACAGGGTGTCTGTTGTGGGGAGGGGAAAGGGAAAGGAGTTTGTAAGCCGCTCTGAGACACCTTTGGGTAGTGCAGGGCAGGATATAAATCCAATCTCCTCTTATTCTTATTCTTATTCTACCTCACAGGGTGTCTGTGGTGGGGAGGGGAAGGGAAAGGAGTTTGTGAGCCGCTCTGAGACTCCTTCGGATAGTGAAGGGCAGGGTAGAAATCCAATCTCTTCTTCTTCTTCTACCTCACAGGGTGTCTGTGGTGGGGAAGGGAAGGGAAAGGAGTTTGTAAGCCGCTCTGAGACTCCTTTGGGTATTGAAGGGCGGGGGAGAAATCCAATCTCTTCTTCCCGTGGAGGAGTGGGGAATCAAAGCTGGTTCTCTGGATTAGAGTCTGCCACTCTTAAGCATTACACCAAGCTGGCAACGCTATGCATACGTAGACCTCTTCTGGCTTTTAAGTGTAATTGACATCTTCCCGTGGAGGAGTGTGGAATCAAAGCTGGTTCTCTGGATTAGAGTCTGCCACTCTTAAGCATTACACCAAGCTGGCAACGCTATGCATACGTAGACCTCTTCTGACAAAACTGGAACGTCGACAACTGCTACAAACGCTACGGATGGGTTTGCAAAGAGAAACTAGATTTTTAATGGGCCATAAAGAGGCTGACGCCTCAAACAACTCTAAATAGGGAGGCGGGAGATGTTGTTCCTGTTCCTCTGTAGGTGTACCATTTCTCCAGCTCCTCTGGAAATGAGAAAGAGCAGAATAGAGACTTATTATCAAGAGTTTGTAGTCATGTGTGTCTGTTAAGAACATAAGAACATAAGAGACACCAATGTTGGATCAGGCCAAAGGCCCATCCAGTCCAACACTCTGTATCACACAGTG